TATATATGTGAATGTATATGGCATGCACATCAATAAAATCTAGTCGGAATTTTAATGGAGTGAATAGTATACATGGAATAAATTAATTAATCAAATTAATTAAATATTCTCTAGATTTTAAAACACCTCCGATTACTCTCAAATTCACCTATGTTGAAGAGCATGCTAGGACCTAATATAATATATTAACAAACATTGATTTCAAGCTAGTTAAGGCCACATGAATTAAACATTTATTCAAGAAAAATATTAAATAAAAACTTTAATACTTATTCAAATGCCCTCAATTTAATATATGTCAATGACCATATTGAGAGGCAATATTCTATCATGCCATATGTTTAAAACAAGCTATGGACAACCGGGAAAAATTAAATCTTACACAAAGAAATAATAAATTAAAGTTTCTAAATTTGATATCCAAGCATGTAAATGAGTTGTATATGCATCCATAACATGCTATATAACAAGAAAATGAAATTATAACACCCCCTACCTTAATTTTGAGATGAAAATCTCAAATCCCCACCAAAAGAAAAGTGCTCCGAATTCGACGATACCACGGGGTTTTGTCAGGGACAACACGGTGAACAAGAATCCCAAGGAAATCCCATGAAAATCACAACTTGACTTCAAACCCAAACTCAAGAAATGGTCAGAAATGGATTCTAATAAGGGGAAAAAGTAGAGCACGACAAGGCGAACAATAAACGTTAAGGCCGAAAACTTTTCACTAAGGAAATCAAGTGGAGAAAAAGAAAGAATGAAGACAGCCCCTTGGGCTCCCATAGCTTCCGGCCAAGAGGGGGAAGAAGATAAAGAAATCTCACTTTTTGACTTGAGACTCCCCTATTTATAGAAAATCTCAAAAATTGCCTCGAACGGGTCCCGTCGGGTCCGGAAAAGTGGATTTAAGCAAACGTGCTCAAACGGAAAAACTCTGTGAACACAAAAGATTCAAAATGAGAAAATATGAATAACGGAAGAAACGACGTCAAAAACTGAGTCCCGAGCAGAGAGATATGCCCCGAACAAGTTCGGCGGCAACCGGGGCCAAAAACCCTGAAACTAGAGAAAAACAACCAGAAGAAAATTCTAAGAGTACATGTCTCGATGAAAAGTGAAAATGAATCCCGTACGAGGATCTAGGCTCAAAACGAGGTATTTTTGCAATAACTTTCGTTAATTGCATAATGGCCCCTCCAAAAAGTGAAAACTGCACAACTGCCCCAGAATGAAAATATCTTCAAAAAATATTTACGAAAAAACCCAAAGAAAAGAAAAAGGTTTTGAAGAATTGTGCATCCATACCCCTATGGACATCGGGAGCAACCAGAGTACTTTCTTACAAAAGTAAAGATACGTATTTCGTGGAAACCACTTAGGATAAAGGCACGTGAAGTCAAAAACCAATTCCGAGTATGAAAAGTGAGGTTGTGCCAAAAGGTGACAAACGAGGAAAAGGACGAAATAGGGAAAGGACGAAAAGTGAATAGTGTCCGAAAAGTGAAAATGTGGAAATAACTCAGTCCTTAAAGAAAATTGTCAATCCGAACGAAAGAGTCTTAATCATAAACCATTTCCGAGTACTAGAGACGACACTAAGTAACGAGAAACAGAACTCAGAAAAGAAAATTAAACGGAAAATTTTTATCTGTAAAATTTGAAAAAAAGGAAAGGGAGGAAAATGACCGGGTCATTACATTATATATGGTGAATAAGTAAACCTAAACCTTATAAGGTAACTCTATACATGGTAGCAAGGGTAGGTGGAGACGGCGGCTAACCCTAACCCTAATATACAATAGACAATATAATCTAACACTAATATATACCATAAAGTACTCCCTGTCATCATTAATATATCCTTGCCTTAATATCATGTGAATGAAGTCGGATAGCTAGTGAATGCATGACATACCTACTGTCAAGTAAATGAGAGTTCTTTTAATAGATCTATCACTAGAATTTTCTTTAGCAAGGAAAATCAGAAAAGGAAAGTCAGCTATTGTTAGGCGCTGAATGTTGTACATTTTAGCCCCTTAACTTGCATGTTTTATTCTCTTAGTAGTAGTTTTATTTATGATTTTATATTATTTTATTATTTTTATTTATTTCAGAGCTTTAATTATAATATCAGTCAAGACTAATGATTTCGAACTTTAAAAGATAGCATTCCTTGAAACGAGCTATAATGAAGATCCGAGTTTAATTAGACTTAGAAAAAAGTCCAAGAAAAGACCCAAATTGGTGAGAATGGAAAAAAGAAGAAAAGGAAGAATCATTCTCCAACTAGAAAACTTTCTCCAAAGTTGGTAACTTGAACCTGTTTTGATACTCTATCTGTATTTCTCTCTTCAAGTGTCAAAACAACTAAATTCTCACTTTAGTTGAAAGAAATTTCGAAGAGCTACAATTTTGTATTTCAAGAGGATTTTATAAAACAACTATTTACCTTGTCAAAACTAGGTTGGAAGTTTGTATGAATTTTGTAGTCCTTGTTTGGCAGAATTTCCATATATGTCTTCTATATGGAAATTTGAGGCTGATATTTTCTTATTTAAAGGGAGTTTTCTACATCATGGTGATCACCATACAAAGGAGATTGAGGCTGAGGTCAGAGGAGAAGCATTCAGAAAAAAGAAGAGACCAATTCATGGCGGCGAAGATGTCTTATTTAACTATGAAGAATTCCATTCTAGTCATGCTCGGCTAAACGCTTTGTTAGGGCTGTGATGTAGCCTTAACTTAACACCACTAGTTTGATTGTATTTATTTATTGGAGAACAATTATTATTCATGCATGATTGTGTAACCTATAGGATTTTTAATTGATTTTTCAATAAAAATCGGTTTTAAATTTTTAATTCAATTACAAAGTATTTTTCTATCTTGTCTTAAATATTTGAATCTTGTGATTGAACACAACTAATTTACTTTTTGTAGCTGTAAATGAGATGGTTATGCAATGGGTTTCTCTCTTAATATAATATTAGAGATTTGATGGATTATGCCAAGAAAAGATAGACCATACTACACCCTAGAGTGAAGTAGTTAGGTAGATAGTTTATGCTAATCGAAAATAATTCATGCTTAGTTTTAATTTATATTATCTTTTAGCTAAATTAATATGTGCTTATAACCATGATTAATTCCTTATACATGTTATATATATATTTCTAATAAATTAATGCAATTGACTGGTGATGCGACGTTAGTGATGAAGTCATGTCCCTAATTTCTCTCTCCAAATTAATCATTGTTTTATTTAATTTTATACTTAGTTCATCTATATTAAAACCAATTCAAACTTGTTTATCTTAATTTAAGTTAATTGAGAATTTGAAAAACCTGTTGACAACTTTATTAACACAAGTTCTTTGGATATGACAACTCTTGCAAGGAAGCCTTATTTATAAAGATTCGTACGCTTACAACTGGTTATATATAAATCTTACAACAGCTATCATGTTTATGATTTCTTTTGTTTCAAAATTTTATCATTGCTTCAGTTAATAATGTTGTTAAAGAACTGCATATGTTTATATCAGAATTATGGATTTTAAACATATGCTAATCGAAGATAATTCATGTCGAGACTTAAGTCAAGACAAGGGTTTTCACAACACAGAACATAGTTTGCCTATTCGTACAGATATTTTTGTATTTACTACTTCAATTAAGGATTGCTTTATTAAAGTTAATACCCGGTCTTAAATTCAAAAATGATACTCGGAAACAAAGTGCACATGTAAATCACAAACTTAGGATAATGGATGCCACCACATTCTGTCTTTGTCTCCATCCTAAAATGCATGCACCATAAATCTCCACGTTATCTTTATTTCTTTTAAAAAAAATTTAGTCTAAATTAGCTTAAGTAGAATTCACAAGAATCAAGACAATAACATGTCTAATTTTTTATAGATCAAATTAAGGCTTAAATTGTGCCACATCAATTACTTGAAAAGACAATGACTTGTCCAATTTTTAATAGATCAAAGGTTGAAAATGTGCCTAAACAATTAATTGGAATATTTTGTAGAGTTGAATCGATTAGAAGGAGCAGTTACAAAATGGTAGATGATAAGAATATAATATATATTTTTTTTAAATGAATTTTTTTATTATTATAAATATATAACAATATGGTTAGGAGTAAGAAGTGAGGTTAAAATGATAAAAATATAATTTATTTAGCTGACTCTAAATAATTCAAATATTTTGTAGAGTTGAATTAATTATGTAAATATAAGTGTATGGCAACACTTAAACTACTGTACTGTAAGTCTATAAAGGTTGGTATGGACAGTGACAGAAAATTTTGTAAGAGGGGCAAACTTTTAATTTGTAGGAGCAAATTTATATAATAAGTTTATTTTTATAATTTCAATGTGTCATCTTTGTAAATTTTCAAAAAAATGAAGTATTAAATGCAAAAAAAAATAAATAAATAAAAATAAAAAGGAATTTCAGAGGGCTGAATTGTAATTTTAGTGAAGGCATACTTTATAAATTTTCAAAAATTTGAAATGTAATATGCAAAAAAATAATTTCAGCACGGGTGAATTGTAATTTTAGGAGGCATTTTTATAAATTTTCAAAAATTTAAAATATAAAATGCAAAAATAAAAAATTCACTGATCTTATGAATTTTTTTAAAAAAAAGTTCATTTGAAATAGTTTGTAAACAAGATTCTCGCTTTTTGGATGTACTAGTACCGTATTTTGTATGGTACTCACTATAATGTCATTGCCAGTTGCAATTGAATGACAAACTTGCCCAAAGTCAAGTCGGTTTCAGTCCCATTTGGAAAGATTCTATAATTTCACCTTCACAGCTCCAAAACAAAACCTACCATTCAACCAGTCTGGACCGCGTGTGGGTCCACAACTACCAGGCCTCCTTCACAGAACTTTCAACCACGACCGCCAATTTATTCCCCCATGACGTCACCCCACACGTCTAAAAGAATTGCAAAATGTGTGGGAAGAACACACGAACCTCCCAAACCCTTTGCCCAAATATCTTGTCCTCCAAGACTCTCTCCCTATATATATAGGCCTAGCGATATATATAGTTATATAGACACACATACATATATATTTTCTCATTTGTGATACAAAAACAAACAGAAATGTGTCCCACCGGAAGCGATGTGCGGCGGTATTCTAACACCACCGTCAAGAAAGATTTCCGGCCGGCGTTCGACGTGCTCGACGCCGACCACGACGGGAGGATCAGCCGCGAGGATCTCCGTACGTTCTATGACGGATTTGGCGGCGGCGAGGCCTCCTCCGGCGAGGACGTGATTGGGACAATGATGTCGGTGGCGGACGAGAACAAGGACGGGTACGTGGAGTACGATGAGTTCGAGAGGGTGTTGTTGATAAAGAAGGGTAGAGAGAGAAAGAATGGGGGAGGAGAGAGAAACGGCCGCGGCGGAGGAGGAGGTGGTGTGATGGAGGATGTGTTTAGGGTTATGGACAGAGATGGGGATGGGAAGGTGGGGCATGAGGATCTGAAGAGCTACCTGAGCTGGGCTGGTTTTGAGACGTCTGACGATGATATCAAGGCAATGATCAAATTGGGCGGTGGTGATGAAAAGGAGGGCGTGACGTATGATGGTTTGCGCAAGATATTAGCTGTATAATTGATGATGACGACGATAATTGAGAGAGGTGGGCTGATTTTAGCCTCTATTGTTTTGTAGTATCTTGTTTTGCTTAAATAATTGTTAGAAAATTATTAATTTGCACATGTTAAAAGAGAATCTATGAATTAGTATATAATTTCATATTTATTATTTGTGGGTTGGCGAAATTTTGGTTTAATGTAGTCTATATCGTTCATGACTTGTGGATTCCCCAATTTTCTTTTGAAAAGAAGTGGTAAAAGCCCTTACTGAGAAACTGAATTGATAATTATGACTCATGTTTTATATTTTATTTGAATCCGGGATTCCGTGGTGACGATTTAAAATTAAACAAAATTTAATTTAAATTTTTAATTTAAATTTTCTCCTAATCTAATTTTAAGATCCTGATTAGTATTTACTTAAAAAATAGCGTTGTTCTTAACATTTCAACAATATGGTCTCCCTACCTCGGTCTTTATATTTTAGGATAAATTGCACCTATACTCCTGAATATTTTAGGATAAATTGCACTCATACTCCTGAATTTTCATTCAACGCCATTTAGAGGACGGTTAGCCCACAAATTTACGTTGATAACCTTTGAAGTTTCAAAAGTCATATTTACCCTCAGGTTTGTAAATTGATAAAAATAGCCCTCTATCATATTATTCTATAATCCTCTCTTCGCTACACACACCACCGCCACACCCACCTACCACCACCACAACCACCGTCACACTAAACACGCCTCCAGATTCGCCCAACAAATCCCCTCTCAACCACCATCGCCACAAACACAGCACCACAACCACCGCCACACACACAGAGCACCACAACCACCACCATACCTACCCACACCCCCACCACACCCATCGCCACACCCACACACCATTGCCACAACCACCGCTTTATGTGACGGCCCGAATTCTCTGAACCCGGTGCGCCAACTATTAACCCGAAGATTGGGCCAAACACGGATCCCAAACACAGAAGCAATAAAAGAGATGCAGTCTCTAGAGATGTATATCATCTCTAAGACGCCAAAGTGACTTCCCGAAAAGCCATGAGACTTAAAAGAAATGAATGAAAAAGCTATAGTTTTAATATGGACCAAATATGGAAATAGGAGTAAAATGGTCATTTTACCTTAAATGGAGTAAATTTGACTTCTAACAAGTCAAATGAGATCAAAAATACCCAACAACATCCTTTGGTAACCTCATATGAGGTCCTAAGGCCAAAAGAAGAGAAATTCCATGGGAACCTTATCCCGGTTCGAACTGAATTATGACACTCTCGCATTAAAATGAGGATATCTTGAGCTAGGAGTAGAATATAAAACTGAAATTGGCACCATTAGAAAGCTTATCTCAACGCGGCCAGTTTACACCTAAGAACAGACAAATTCGGAGTTAAAACGAAAGAGTTATGGCTATTCCTAAACCGGTTCAGGATTTCCTGAACCGGTTCAACCTGGACAGAGTGGCCAAGTTGGACCCTAAATCACCCTTGAACCGGTTCCAAGGAAGGTGAACCGGGTCCACCTGACCAGAATGGTTGAAATTGTCCAGAAAACCCAATTTTCGAAATGGTCTGAAATTCAAGGGTAAGAAGAAACTTTTTGGGAAAATTTTTATGAAGCTATCCTTATTCAATTTCAATTCTAAGATCACCTATGGTCCAAACCAAGATTAATAAGTAAAGTGAAATGACATAATTGCCCCCAAATGAATGCAATACCAAAGAGATAAAAATATGCTACAAAATGATATAATTTCAATACATTGAACTGTTGGCCCTTGGCCTTATTACACATATGTTAAAGTAGAATAAAAAACAAGTCACTTAACTTTATATTATACGCCCAAAAGAAAGCAAGCTATGCTTCTAAACAAGTTATACAATTGCAACGACAAAACTAGTTAAAACATGCTAACACTTGTATGTCAAATGTATAAAAAAGTAATCCAAATGCAACCAAGCCAAACTACGGATGATGAGCATCCAAAAATAAGGTCTCCTTTCCTGAAAAACCAAATTTAACTAGGGTGAGTAAACAAGTTACTCTATAGGATGAAACAGATACGTATACCCTAAAGTTTCAACGGTTCTTTACAACATATTATAAACCAAACACATGTGGATCATGCCTCTTAACGTCTAGTCTCAATGGGAAGCTAAATGATCATCCTAAGCTATATATGAAACAATTTTAAAGTAATCTATAATGGTAAAATATACAACAATATTGGAACTTCCAATGAAAATAACAAGCTACAACTTCAAAAGTAATGTCAACTTGTAAATGAATGCGAAATCAACAATGTGGAAAACTTAGGAACAACGTCCGGTTATGAACATCATAACACAATACAATTAGTTATTCCGGGCTATTAACCCTCATGGAACTACCAAAGTGCGCATTGTATTGGGGAGAACTCTTACCTTCCGCACTAAGGCCTTACCTTAGCCATTTCCCCTTTTTTGTTTTTGCCCCCAAGTATTTCCAAAATCAATCAAGAAGGTTATAACTATCACATAGTGTAAACAATGCAATTAATTAACTTCCATACACATCCAATTTTCAAAACTCACATAATACATGCCCTAAGTCCTCAAGCTATAATGGCATATACAATGACAAGTTCACAAGGTGTATACAACAACACAACAACTAGGCTATCAACATAGGAAACTTAATCATGCTAACATGGAAATCATTAAATTCCTAACTTAACAACAACATAGTAAAATATCACAACACAATCCATGACAACAATAATCTTAGAACATCATAGTAACAAGAAGAAGAAGATACTAGATCTCAATCTTCTACTTAAGTGAAACGACAACTATACAAGAGAATATTCACATAGAAGGCTTGTATAAAATGTAACCCTAGGTTAGATACAACCAAAATTTATCTAATACAATCCTAGAACTTCAATTTACATGTATACAATGTATATCAACAACAAAAGAAGTAAGAAACAACAAGAGTATAAATATAGGACAACCCTTACCTCACTAGAGGATTGTTCCTCTAGAATCCAAGGCAAACGAAATCAAATGGTGAAACCAAGCAAACGTGTTCTAGAGGAGGAAGAGATGAAACTTTTGTCTTTAAGGTGGAAGACCAAAATCCCAAGGGAAAGGGCTTGAATGTGAGCTACAAGCTCTAAGGTTTCAAGGTTCAACAATTGTGGTCAAGTGAGGAAGACAATTTTTTCACAAGAAAATCCACTAACTAAATGACTTTGTGTAGTTAAATATACTACACCAACACTACCTCTCTCTTACACACACACATCCACCCTCCACTTGTCATGATCTTAGGCCTCCTCACTGGGCTTAATCCAAGCCTTACACTTGTCACCAATTTAGGCTTCCAAGTGTACCCAATGGAAAGTCAACAAATGGGCCAATGGGAGAATGCCACTTCTCACTCTTTTCTCAATTTGCAACTTAGTCCCTTCACTAAATATCTCAAAGAATAATTGCAAAAAGGTCCCTAAGACAAAATATCTCAAAAACTTAATTACGCAAAACATCCCGAAAAACGAAAATGTTTCTGAAGAAACTATACATCCATACCCAGAAATTAAAAATAAACGAGCATGCTTTTCATTAAAATTAAAACATATGCGGATAGTAAAAGATAATATAATGCAATGCACATGGTGCTGGAAATCAGTTCCGAATACCGAAGCCTACCTCGAGCGCAACAAAACCCTAAGACAATGCGAAAAAAGAATAAATCAAATAATTAAATAAATATAATAAATAATAAATAATAATAAAAAATGAATGACAAAAAATCGAAAAAGGTAAAAAAGAAGACACAATCTTCATAACCTTCCCACCTTAAAGGGATTTCGTCCCCGAAATCCAGCCTCGACAAAACAGAAGGCCAACTATGGATAACTACGAAGTACATCTCTGAGCATCCTATACAACACAAATGCACAAACCAATGCAACTTGCACCCACATGCTCATGACACAATGTACATAACAACCTCTGCCAAGAGTGGCCCCATCCCTATGTCATTTGCACCCACGTGCTCATGACATAACACACCCTCAAAAGAATAATGGCCACATGGTCATACTACACATGAAATCTCAAACACTGAACACAACCCCAAAGGTGAACACAACCTAAGAAAAGAAGTACCACATCATCATCTAGCACATCGAATCCTGAGACACCACATTCTTTCAATCCAACCCCGTGAAAATCAAGTCATACCACCACATGACTAAACAATCAATCCTCAAGGACAAAAAAGATCTATCTCCCGAACATATCAACTCCAAAAATATCAAAGGAAGGCTAAACCTTTCCCAAGATCACAATCAAAATATCGTGGATCAAAGATCACCTAAATAACCAAGGGTACAAACAAATACACAACTACATGTCTCAAAAACATGATCCGAAAATCGATCGGATAAAATCCTACAAAACCATCAAAATCACAAATCATTTAGTCTGCACACGACTATTCTTTATCACAACATCTTCAATGAAAAATCTCAATCTCTGAAAACACAACCACCTCAAAAGGGGGAAACAATCAAGTCAAACTACCACAATACCTTACCTCATACTCTTACCACTACTCAATTGAAACCATCACTGATTATTGACCGGACAATCTATTAGAGTATAATTGATTCGAGAAGAAATGTCTGATCAGGCCCATTTCTATATTAATCAATCTGTCCCTAATAACCATGTCATTCTTGTCATCAGATCGAACTCCAAATATTGTTCTCATATAAGAACCTTCACAAAACAAACACCTCGATTTCCATCACCAACTCCATAAATCTCAACAATCTCCTTAACCATAAGCATTACGTAAAAATCTCAATAAGAATCCTTATCAAAAATCTCTTGACAAGACTAGAATACAAACACCTTTATCTGATAACAATCACAAATCGAATCTCCCAAATCCATGCTTGGCAACACTGAGCTGGAACTAATTTCCTCCAAGTGCATTTATATCCCTATCAATCCTCATCATCAATCCATAAACAACTACCGAAATAACGGTTCATCAAAACCACGGCTAGTCATACCTAGAACGAGAAAACTCCATAAATAAGCCATATCCAATAGCGATCCTTCGAAATATCTCCTAAAAATCAACCACACCC